AGACCATGATGGAGTACCAACACAAGCCGAGACCTACTCTTCTAGCTTTTGAGTCCACAGCTTGGAGGCCAGCATTTCACCTAGTTGCACAATTTCGAAGGCAACCCCTGTGAGTTGGTATTGAGCTGAGCGCTACTTGAACCTTCGTGATGACCCCAAGGCCCCAAGAACACTTGTTTGGAACCTCGGACGGAGTAAAAACCTACGGCAATATACGGAGGAAGCGTCTCCTTCGCTACCTGCGTCGCACCAAGACACGATCTGGTGCTGGACTTGGAATAGTCGACGAGCGGCGCGAATGAGAAATGCTGAGCAGACAGTCCAAGGTGGTGGCTCACGCGACCACAAGGTTGACAGGTAGGCCGTGGTCTTTCTACGAGTACGTCGATGACTTTGGCGGCTGCCGCATCCACATCTGGTCTACATGGGATCTTCTTTCATGTACCTGAAACCATGATATTGGTGAAAATGGTGCCTGCGTGTCTGGTGAAAAGCTTCTTCCTGCGTCAGGCATCCGCAGATCATATCCCTGACATCAGCAGGGAGTTTCTTCGTGGTGAAAGACGCCCGAGACGATAGCATCACTGGACTTCCTCCATAGTGGGGGTATACATGATCTGATTTGTGTGCTACCCTAGTGCTTTGGGGAAACCAGGAGCTAATGGACAAGTTGGGGAAAAGTAGTAAAGGCTGAAGGCTTCTTCCTGACAGAGAAGCTTTGATGGTTGTTCCTTCAAGCTGTGTTCTGATGATTGGCATGAGGCGCTTTTCAAGTTCGTTGCTCCAATTTATCAAAATCAGGTCGTAAAGTTGTGATAAAAAGCATAATGGGATGAAAAGTAGCATAGGCTACGCATGATCTTTAAGATATACCCAGTAAATACGCTATATCTTCACAAAGATTAAATTGAACTTCAAATAATACGAAAAAAGTTCGATAAAAAAGATGATCGGACGAAAAGCAAATATTAAAAGAGACTAATTCTGCAAAATAAGAGATAATATATTGAATAGCAAAAGGTGGCCTAAAAAACCTTGCGATCAAGCATAAGAAATACCACTCACTTATTCACAGCAGCTTTTTCTTCTTATATAAGTACAGTTTCAGCCAAACTGCCGGCTGATATATACAATGATCAAAGTCATGGCTACTGCCATGTCTCCAGATTTGGAAAGTCTGATGTCTCTGCTTTCAGACCGGCTGGAAGCAGGATTTCGCGATTATTGCTAAAAAGCAAAAACCAATATGGCTCTGAAATTTTGAAAAGGTCGAAGGCAAGACCGTCAGTCAACGCCATTAAAACATAATCAGGGCAGTCATACCCTAACAAAAGGTCTAAGTATGGCTTAACTAAAGTCAATGTTCCTGCATTCGTTAGTTAAGCCCATCCACATTCGTCAATGCCATTATCTTCATAACAACCACCGATTTGTTGCGATAATCAATTCTGATGGTAACTTGGCCCATGTCGTCTGTAAGCACCTTGATCTTGCTGCAGAGAACACCTCGTTGAGGGGATGGTAAAGGCCGATGGAGCGGAAGGTATGGGCATTGGGTCGACCACTGCGAACCACAAAGGCTTTGTGCAAGATGAATGTCTTCAAGCAGCTAGTCGAGGTATGCTCTGGCGTTCTCGTGCCATTAGGCTATGGCATCGGCGCTCTTCTATCTGCAGCTCGCTGCGCTGCTGCGTACGTATTCAACATCGGTCTCTAGCTTTGTAGCGTTGGCCCCATCTCATGCTCCAAGGTCGAGAACAGATTGTGTGTTGGAATAGCTGCTTTTGTGCGCAATGTGCCTCTTGTGTACTCGGCCCAGAGGATTGGTGAACAATTCGTCTCGCATTAACGTGCGGTTCCGGATTGAGTCTCTTTAGCTGAGCATCAATCGTGGATATATTGGTGCAAGCTCTGTGAGGAGGTGCAAAGCCACTCGCAATGCTGGCAGCATCAATGAGCTTTGGGGATCTTGTTGGGCACAATTATGCTCATCGGTGGATACACATGCATATTTATACATTGCCTTATATCGAGGGCTATGGATTCATGTGATTCGTCATTTGACTACCTTGTGTTACAAGCACCGGCATTGCACCAGGTCATATGCCAAACGTGTTTGTTGAAGTCGTACGTAACCAATAATCATCATGATTCACAACTTGATTGTGGCATAAACAAAGTTTTGAGCTGCTTTGCCACGACCAAATCGCACGGGAGCCAATTTATAAGGGGGGAACCATGAATGAAGAGCTTGTGAAGTCTGAGTTGATCATGAAGAGCTACAGAAGAGATTACCAGACATGCAACGGTGCCACCTCGCTACCAGCACACTCAAAGGTGCCCATTGACTTGAAACCAACTATGCTACATTTCGATATAACCGGAATCTGCACTGCTCCTGCAAGATTTTCGATGCTGTCGAAAACGTAGAATCCACTTTTAGCACGGCTGATCGACAGAGCACTCCTGTTCATGTCGTCGACGACGCCCCATGACGGCATGATTCTTGTGGAAGCTCCTTCGCACCAGCGAAAGAAGCTCAGTGTCATTCTCTTCACCCTGGTAAGAGCCGAAGTAGGTCTTTTTGACAACGGGGAAGGGGCCATCGGTCATGTTGACAGGTCTTGAAGTCCGCCATCGTGCCTGCCCCTTAGGGCCGTCGTGGGACTCTGTGAAGCCTCTGCTGGCTAGTATGCGAAGGCGTTTCGAACCGCTTCAAATTGTCCGTCCTTCAAATCTTGTCGGGTATCGCGCGTCACGACTCTGTTCAGCGTGACGATGGCTCTATTATGGAATGCCGATCCTACTGGCGTGCACCAGACTAATAATCCTGTCAGTTATCGAATGGCAAAGGCGACAAGGACAACTTACGGGTTGTCAGTATTTGTTTGACTTTCGCCCTGACCATTGGATTTGCCATGTCTTTTCAGAGATACTCGGAACCATGATCGTCAGGAATGCGAACAAACCACGATCCGCCCGTCCCTTCCAAGAAGTCCGCGATTGCGTCGACTTCATCAGCGCGTCTGGTGACGGAATCTGGTCTGCTGCTCACCAGGATCACTGGCCTGTTTTGGGGAGTTCGTTCCAGATCTCCCTGTCCTGCCATTGACGGGTTGCACTGGACACATATTCTGCCACCAGAAAGAGGTGGTCGTTCTCCCCTAGGTTGATCAGACAGGCTGGCGGTGACTTCATTACAGACCAGATCTGGAATGGGATGGAATCCCGTCCCCCGTGATCCTCTCCCGAGTGGCGTCCAAGCAGGACGACTGTCCTGTTGTCGAACGCGCTGTCTTTGTTGACTGCCATCAGCAGGGTTGATTGTTGCACAATCTGCTGTGTATTTCTCGAGACAGTGGTTCTGGTCTTGATCATCGCCTTGATCAACGGCGCGAGGTACTGGTCTCTCACTGTCTTGTCCAGACGGCCATCCGTCGGAAGAGGGGTTGCTGAAGGTGGGCGATCGCGTAGTTTGCGACGAACTTCGGGGAGAAGGAGAGCTTCAAGTAGCTGCGGACCTCGTCTGCGAGGCTTGAAAGCATCGTTTCGTCTGGCATGTTGTCGGAAAGGGTGACATGGACGTTCGACCGGTTGCCGATCGGAAATTCTGACACATGTATCTGTCTTCCTAATGGAAGGAAGAAAGAAGGTGCCCGTTCTACCAGAGACTCGAAAAATCTCGGCGTGTCGAAATAGAAGACGACGAGCGTCCAAAACCCTTCTCTGGGTTGACCATGGCAGAGGGGATTGCCGCAAACGTGGCCTCCAGTGCCAGCATGGCATACCGCAGAGGCACCATGTTGCCAGCAGGTGGAATGGCACAGTGAAAGAGGAGTACTCTGCTAGTGATGGCGAAACCCTCACCGACTGACAGAGACGAGATGAAATTTGTTTTTATAAGAACAATTGATCGGATGATTTTGTTCAATAGAATAATTCAATGCGATGATTTTGTTCGATAGCTCGATTCGATGGGTAGATGAGATGAAATGGTAGAACAAATTAATTTGATGGGATGGAAAGAAGAGTTGCTTGCCAGGTCTTGGGAAGAAATAGGGTTTGATGTTCTCCGTTTGTCGCGGCTGCCTGCTTGATTCAAAACAAACCAACATGAATGGCGACAATCACGTATTACATGTACCTATCATTTACTTTGCCTGAGGCAGTGACGGCCAGTGTTTGCAGGCTTCCAGCCACGCCTGGGCGTTTGGCTGGAAGCGGCCGGTTCTTGCCTGATTTGACAGGCTTGACCAATCACAATCATTTGCTGCAAGTATACTCGACCTACTCCTTACCAGAGCTGCACATTTCAGCAAAGCCCCGCTAACAGACGAGGTCTCGATGCGGGTCAACATTTACCCAAAATTCGAAGCGGCAGTCTCCAACCAAGGTTTTGTGGTATTGCTATCTGTTCAAAAGGCATGAGCCAGTTGCCATTTTCTCCGTGCAGTTGATGCTTCTTGCTTCTGAATGTCAGCTGTCTCTCGCAAACGAGGAAGGAGGCGAGGGCATGTTGGTCATGCACTATATAACTATGTTCCAGACTCAATGATCCAGAACCCGTTCGACGTTGAAAGTTGTCAGCCGTAACTCGAAGGCGCCCCAGATCCTCACAGTTTTCATACATTTCGAGATTGAACATGCAAGACTCCGGTCCTCTATACGTTTTACTTCAACTGCCCAGGTGCTCACGGCAATGCGGGACCTTTGGGCCGTGGTCGACATGGTCTGCGGGATGAAATCCATCAAGTTCCTGCTCGATATGAGTATCTGGGTACTCAGCGCGCGAGGCCAGCCAGCTTTTAATGTTGTATCCATCCTGACAATTGCAGGGTGCATGCACATTGCTTCCCATCGAAAAGCGCCTTCCAACAGTGTGCTCCGACCTGACGATAGGCTCGTGTGTTCATACGTTGGACAAAAAAACTTCCTTTTTGAAGCACCCCATCCCCATTGCCATCACCACCACCACCCATCCAGGCAAAAAGAGGATATCTCGATGTTGACCTGGTTCGAACAGGCGCTCCCGAAGGAACAAGATAGCTTGGAATATGATACCAATTCTAGTCTTGCGCATTAGACCACTCTGCCACAACACCGTTGCTTGATGAAGATAATTGTCCCAAGAGGGATTATGTTTCGACAAGAAGCTCGGTCGGTGACCATGTTGCTAAGCGAGGTCTTGCTGCTGATGGCTCCTTTTTCGTGTCCTGTGATAGATGAATACAATGGTAGGTCCCGGGTGGAGCCTCTCACGATCAAGTGCAAATGCGAACAACTGAGTTCCGTGAATACTTGGGATGGGGTTGCTGGGAGAACAACAAGGAATCAAGACGAGGCTAATCATGAGATGAGAACCATATTGACTTTGAAGCTTTCATGTTGATGTCTTTCTTTGGTATCATTACATCTGCACTCATGCAGAAATGTGCTCGCCAACATACAAGTGGCGAGGATCGATGGACTTCTCGCTCAAATCAAAAGACATGGTAAAACAAAAAGGGTGCCATCTCTTCTTTTGTTACACATCTTCGTGATGCCCCATTGTCCCCCTTCATTCACTTCTTCGTGAGTTCCGGGTCGAATGTTGTACAAATCCAACCTCCAGCAGTGACAAGCTGGTAATCCCAGTCGCATGAAATCACACAGCCTCTTCGCTCTGGTCCTTGCCTGATTTCTTGTACTTCTCCCTGCCAGTGGCGAACGTAGCCCGGACGACCCTGCCGTCGAAAGAACGGCCATCCATGAGCTTGATGCAGGCCTCGGCGGCCTCTGGGCTCTGGAACTTGACGCTCACGACGCCATCCTGCTCGAGATCGTACAGAGTGACGCTTGTGACAACACCGAGCTTCTCGCACTCCTCCCGTATGTCGTCCTTGATGTCGAGCAGGGCTGCCGGGTCCTCCTCGAGCTCCTTGAGCGTGAACATGTGTCGCAGCACCACCACCTTGTCCTTGCGCTGATTTGTCTCGAACTGTGCTCCGTACGGCTCGTCGTCGTCCCAATCCGCCAGCTTGGCGTCCAGCTTCTGCGTCCGCTTGATGATCTTTTGCTTTTCCTGCTCGCGCTCCCTGCGGTCCCTTGCGTTGGTGCTGGGGGCTGCTTTCGACGGGCCTCCGTTTGCACCATTCGCCGAATCGGCAGCGCCGCTAGGGGTATTTCCACCACTCTCGGCTCCCTCTGCCGTTTCGTACTGTGTCTTCTTGTAACTGCTGTCGGCTGCCTGTACCCTCATCTTGCCCGACGGCAGACCGCTAGCGCTATACCGAAAGTCCGTGTCGTCGAGAAGCATGATGGCCATCTCCACGCTCTGGGGCTTGAAGAATACAACGAGCGCGTCGCCCTTGAACTTGCCGGCTGCGTCCGTGTACATCTTTATGCGCGGGCGGCCACTGTCGATCTCCTCTGCGACGACGCCGCATTTGCGACTAAAGACGTCGTGAACCTCGTCGACGGTCGCGTCAGGCGGCAGACCTGTCACGTACACGGCCGTGTTCTGGCGCGGCTGGGGCGGTGCCTTTTGCTTCTTGCGCGCCGCAGCGGCCTCTTCCTTTCGCTTGCGCTTGGTGTTGTTATCGCCGACTGCCTCTTCCTGGTCCTCGGGTGCGCCGCCGTACATGCGCTGCTGGGCTGCGATCTCCTCCTCGGTGAGCGTGGGGATCCAGCGCTTCAGCTGTGCGTCGAACTCGAACTCCGTGCCGTCATCATTCTCGGCAATGTACTTGTTGTCGAGCCTGGAGAAGGAAATGCGATCGTCGGTATCGAACTCGTCCGGGTTCACCGGGAAGGAGAGGCTGGGAGCTGCCATGATCCTTTCTCCGAAGTCATTTATCTTCTTATTTTGGTGCTCAAAAACAAAACAAGAATTGAAAGTGAGGAAGAAGGAGAGAGGCAAGCTGGGAGACTGGAAAAAAGTTGGTGTTGATTGAGGATGAAGCTTTTAGGTGATGCTAGCTCTGAATGATGCCTAGTGTCAAGCGGGAAGACAGGGTCGCAGGGCGCTGGGCTCCCTTAGCTTGGGCCGTAGTCCGGCATTTCGTACCTGCTGCTGCTACAGGGATTAAATCAGATCCAAGGGACATGGAAATCACACCATGGGCGGGAGCTCGGGCCAATATAGCACATGCAACCATGGCAAGCTTGAGGCGAACCAGCCAGTTGAGTCTTTAGGTACTGGCGTTTGTAATAAAATAAGTAGGTACATATCCGATCAGTTGGCTTGCACAAACAGCCTGTGAACTCTAGACAAACGATTGAAATTCACCAGCTTGAAATCAAATCTCAGGTTATAAATCAGTACCATGAAGTGCTCGCGTTCAACAAACGTATACCTAAAACACATCTTTTACAAGCATTACACGGCTAGCACGTCGACTAACAGCTCGAACATGCCAACCAAGGACCTTAGTCGCGGTCAAAGTCTATTGGAATATACGGACCCTCATATAGACTCTAATGTATCAAGCCTAGGTACTTGGAGCATTATACTCTATAGTAGGTCTCCAGTGTGCAAGTGCAAGGCGCCAAACCTCTTAGCACACAGCAATTACATTCAACCTCTTACTTCTTCTCAACCGTCTTCTTCACACCTTCGACAAAAGCCTCTACTGCCTCTCCGCCACCGAGGGGCATACTACTGCCCTTCAAGTAACCGTTGTTCTCAACTTTGACAGAGAGTGCCTCGGCAATGGTGGGCAGACCACCGTCCCTCAACGCCATGGTAAGACTCGTCAAGCTCTGGTGGAATTGGGGACTTCTGAGAACCTTGACCAGCAAAGCCTTCTTCTGGCCAACGCTCATGGCTTGCTTGGCAGCTTCTATGGCGGCGGCTGTGGGCTCTGTTGAAGCATCGCCCGAATCGGCCTGCTGGGCAATGATGAGCACCTGAGGAGGCAGGTAGCTGAGTAGTTCATCCAGTTGCTCCTCTGTGGCGTCTTGTGCGACGGGAACTGTGGTAGGCGGCGTGAGAAGATCCGAGAGCATGGGGTAGAGCTTTCCCTCGCCTCCTTGGCTCGGACCTGCGCTTCCAGAACCGCCCTGACCGGGCAGACCACCTTGCAATGAGTTTAAGAGGTTTCTCACGGCAGTAGCAGCGTCAACGTTTCCACCGGCAGCACTACAAATAACACACGTTAGCCAATGCTCTGGCGCTGGAGTGTCTTGCTTGGTATTCGTGAATTGCCAGCTAGGCCCATCAATCTTTCTGTGATGTCTCTAAAATACATGGTTGACCTCATGTTCGGCCTTTCCGCATCTAGGGTGGCCAACCTGGGCTTTTGCGACGCCGAAACGCTGATTTTCCCGAGAAATGACATGACGACCTCTGCACAACGCCAGCAAACATTAGTTGAAAAATGCACCTACGCTCGAGCTCCGTCTGCGCCGCCCTCTCTGGCGCCCTCTCCCTCTTCTCGTACATCGCCGCCAGTGGCGTCCGAGCCAGCGCCTCCAGCACCAGCACCACCGCGAGGGTCGTTTGAATCTCCGCCTTGTACATCCTCCATGGCGTCATCCTCGTCATCGTCAGGACGGTCGTCATTTGTGCTGATCTCCACCGAGTTCAGCTCGGCCTGAACGTCCACTTCCTCACCCTGCAGCAAAGCGTCGATAATCTGGCCAATCTTGAGGTCTCGGGGGCTGAACCAAGCGGGATCACCGTTGCGGCCTTGGGGTTTGGACTGCATCCAGAACATGTGTCTTTGTGATGATGACATGAACTTCAGAATGAAGACACGACCATTCGTCCTGGCGGCCGAGTTTGTTTGCTTGTGCGACTCGTGGGGGACGAAGTGACCGTCGGTAGGCACCATGACGAGATCGAGCTCGGGTTCATCGATGGGAGAGCTGCGTTGCCGCCAGCAGAAGTGGATCAGATCTATTGGGAGTCAATGTCTGCGTCCCGACGCAGAGAGCAAAACAACATACCATCCTCCGAGTAAAGGTAGACATAGCCCTTCTCAGGCTTGGCGGCGACCTTGTATGGCTTTGTGGAGGGCTATAGGCAGGGAGTTAGCTGCGCATTCGCAAATCGTCAGCTACCTATGCAGATACTAACGTCAACCTCGCACATGCCGGCCTTGAACGTTATGATCGGCGAAATGGACATGGCGTCAAGGTGTGGCGGATATTATTGAAGAGAGGAGGTCAAATTGAATCGCTTTGAGGTGTCAAGTCTTTGAGTGGTTACGAAGAGGTGATGGTGAAGTGGCAGGCGTTGCCTATCTGTACAAGTGTTGGAAGTGGTTGGCGTCTGAAAGAGCTGCCAGTGAATGATGCAAGGCTACGATGGAGCTTCGTACGTTACGTTTGCCTGACTGTACCTACCTCACTACGGGCGGCGGGCAGGAGCATCGGCGTTTACAGCAGGCCAGCGAGCACAGCTTAAAGCTGAGGGACGAGGCAACAATCACCCACCAGCCAAAAGTGGAGCTTGGGCCACTTATCGGCGCGTCGGCGCTCCAATTAAGCAATGACATAGGTGTCTAGCATGGGCTGTGGCTCGAGCCGTTATCGCAATCGCTAGTCCCGCCCACCAGCCACATTTTCCCTTATCAGCCCGCGCTTGCACGGCCACATTCAATTTTCGGGGCAGGGCTTAATCGCCCAAAACCGAACCCACAACATTTTTCCTGTGTGCATCGGGCAAGAGCAAAGAGGAACACCTTGACGATCTCCAGACTCAACCACCATCCCCGACAAATCCTCCCACCCGACAACTAACCACCACAGCAGCCAAGCCCTTCACAATGTCGGCCCCGTCCAGCAAGAAGTTTGGCAAGTCGACCCGGGAGGTCCCCCACCACTCCGAGAAGGCTCAGAAGTGGTACCCTGCCGACGATGAGTCCAAGCCCAAGACTGTAAGTGGCCTCGAGCGATAGACGCGGAAAACAAACGTGTCTGGGAAGACAGCAGACGAACAAGACGCATCCCGATAGACTGGTCACAAAACATGGGCACCCGTCTTTTTGCCGCATTACGAATTGCCCGCCTGGAGAGTTGGAGGAAGGAGAGCAAGAGCATGGGGGGATATCAGGTATCCGAATCGAACGAAGAGCTTGGGGTTTTCAGGTGGCGCGACAATGCCAATGCGACATTTTGC